AAGGTCTACTTAAGGTCCATCGGCAATAATAAAGGGGTGGCAAACATGTTATTATCCCGCCGCAAACGTCCCGATTTTGATAGATTCCCTTCTACTTGTCCTACTAGTATTGCGAGCTGCACTACCTGGTCCTACCGATGTCCCCGTGATTTATTATTGCCACCCCCCCTTCCATAAGCCCAAACCGCAGAACAGGTTCTGCGGGGATTTATTATTGTCATTGTAACATTAAACCCGAAACTGCAAACCCCAAACCTCCTGGTTTAGTCCAAAGCCCAGCCCAGGCAAGCTGCAAATTATGTGGTCGGTGATCGGCAGTCTTTTCATTGTTTGGGACTTGATCACCATCCCCTTGGAGTTCCTTATTCCTTGCAAATTCAAGTTTAACGAGGGACTCCACATAAAAAGCCCCTAGTTAGCAGCCCTTAAAGGTCCGCATGGAGGTCTTCGGTTTTAGGGGGTAGGGACCTTTTTTGAGAAATTTGGGGTTTAGGGGCATTATATAGGCTTTAGGAGCAAGAGTTGGTATGTCGGTTTTGATGCATGGTCTTCAAAGTTAGGGCAGCTGTGACACCCCCATGATGGTCAGTCACAGTGAGCTTTCTGTGATTCGATCTTGCCACGACGGTTTTTATTCGGTCTTGAAATTCGAAGCTTTTGAAGAGGCTCGAAGCTTCTGCCGCTCTTGCTCAGGCTGTTTGATATTCAGCACATGATCAACTTCCTGGTCACGGTGGGGAAGTTCTCCTTTGAATACTGGGTCATAGACATGCGCCTTGGATCTGTGATTCCCCTATCGCTCTCGCCACTCCACGCCTCTTCTGGCCTTCCACAGCTCCAAACACCACAGCTGAAGCCCTGGAACAACCGACACCACCCAGAGCATGCACCCAGGCCCTTGCACTTGATTTTCGGTGTGGAGATTGACGGCCGCTTGCACGGAGGCCTACGGGCTGTCCAGTATGGGTGACGGAGCCCCCAAAGAACAAGTGAAGGGCCATATAATATTGTCCACCCACAAGTAAACATGGAACGCTAACAGCCGCTAACAGGTGCACTGCAGAGACTACAATTCATTTAAAAGGACGCTAGAGGATGCTCGTTGATCTGAGGGTGTCATGGTTCTGAGTCTAAGGCTTGAAAGCGCTCGGGGACTGAAGTAGGTGTCTGCTCGTGGTTAAAGTAATGGTGAGCATTCTTGGACTAGCTTAGGGTTATGAGTGGGGATACATTAAAAACAGATACATGTGGGTGACCAGATGCAAGAAGCATTGGGTACCCATTTCGGACATTTTTCATTCTCACGGCATATACGTGTGTGGACTGCAGTTTCGATAAATTGCCATGCAGATGAACTATGGCTTGCATGGAGACATGCGGATTTGGGGGCTTCGGGTTTCCGAGCTTGAAGGCAGGCGTTGGACTTGCGGCCCTTTATTTTGTCGGAGGAGGGGATCGCTTGTGCTTCATTTTCATCAGTAGGAATGTATTAGTAGTGGTCTTTGTGATTAGATGGTGTGATTAGATTCAAAAGACAGTTTCTCGGCAATTGTGGCAGCTAGAGTCGAGCAGCTCGAGAGGAGGGTTCAAGAAAGGTGGAGTGAAAGCACCCCCTGTTGCGCTACATGTTGAAATCTTATAACATTGGTAGATTCGGGTAGATGCGAAGGACAGGATAACAATCCGTATAAAGCACAGAACAACTCCCAGTGAGATTGCTGTTTGACCGGAGATCCAAAGCTTGATTTTGCCTACGGACATTGCAGAAGTTGTGCCCAGTCATCATCATGTCTATATACGAGTAGCATGTACAGTCGCGATGATCGTGACCTCGGCAATTGTGGTGGGTTGGAGGCCAGCATGAAGGTCTTGATTACCTGAACTGCTGAACAGGAGTCCCACTGTTGCTGCTCCATTGTCATCATGTTACCAGCGCAGCGGTCATTGGAATGGTAACAAAAGTCTACAAGTGCCGTGTTCTCCAGTAAATCCCACATGTCATATACATGCAAGCAAATATTCATTTATACATACATGCAGGTAGACATAAGCATATGTATCCCTATCTAGCTGTACAAAAGGCTCTGTACCAAGTTAGGCTCCCGTAATATGCCACAACATACCCTGTCGCGTCATTTGGCCTTGCAGAGCAGGCGAGTGGGATGGGATGGAGCTTTGGGAGCCAAAAAGAAAATTCTTGAGAGCTTGGTATAAGAGTTTGGGGATGAGGGGTTCTGGGGCCTGCCCGAACAAGGCCATGATCAAACTTAACCTGAGATGAGGTACTTTCGATCTTGGTTCACCATTGACTGCATCGTGATCTCGGTGGATGCTGCACTCATCGCCTTGCAAGACATTCAGGGGTCAGAGCCTGAAGGTCTCCCCGAAGCACACAGACATGAAGCTGGAGGTTGCAGGTTCAGAATTTCCGATTACAGTTTAGGGTCCAGTTTTTATGGCATATGGTCATATTCTACTTCTGAGAGCCTTCTTGTGGAAAGATCACAGGATTGGGGTACTGGAAGTGCTGTGAGTCCTTGTGGGATTGACAAGAGCTAGTCAAAGGGATAATGGTAGCTGCTTTGTTCGCATCGCAGCCAGTCAAGGAACAATCCTGTTAAGAGTTGGGTTCGTGCGCTTTGTTCGTCGGTGTCTCTACACATCGGCACTATGATCCATGGGGCCCTTGAAGGCACATGATAGGGAGCTCATGAGTTCACTCGCAGCCGCTGCTTGAAGGAGCTCATTCTACGCGCTTTTCCTAAAACGCTACATGAGGCTCTAAACATTGTAGGTCTGTTATGGGGTTTTCTGGAGTAAGGATGCTTGACGCATTCAGTTCTCAGAAAGCTCTACTCTTGAAAGGTACCAACTCATCGCTCAGGACAATAGCTCTTGTTCTCCGACAGGAGGTGAAGAATATAGCCCGTGAGAGTGAAAGCAACAATCGCCATCAGGTTGACGCGACGTTGTTGAAAATGAGCATCTGCCCCAAAAATGTGCTCCTTCAGCAAAGACATCCCCCTTAAGTCCTCAAATCCCAGGTATGTATCTTTGATGCAGGGGCACCCTTTAGACTAGACTAGCCGCATAGAGACCCAAGTTACAAGTAGATTAAGGAGGCCACTGGGACTCTAAGGCATGGGAAACGGAAGAAGATTGACCAAAAATGAAAATGCCTGTTCACCTAACCCACAGCCCTGCACCTCTGTTCTTGATCCAGAAACAGCCTTCGACAATGCCGCGTCATCCTTGTGCATAGGCAGAGTGCGAATCAAGCACTCCCCCTTCGCTGCAATCTGGCAGCGAACCCCAGACTTCATGACTCGGCACAGAAAACATTAACACATGGGACATCGGGCAAAATCGCAATCCACCACCGCTATTTTGCTGACCATGTCAGATAGTACTTCAACGACGCTCAGTCGTCGAGAGGCCCCAGCCAGGTAAGCAACTAAGCTCATGCTGGCTGCCTATAAAAGCATAGCCTTCTCCATGACTAGTACCTGGAATTCCCCGTGCTTCCACTACTGGCTTGTCGTGATCATTCGCTGGTATCCCACTTTCAATCCTCTGAGCTATCGTTTCTATAACTTCGAGGGGGTTCCTTAAGACTGCCCCAATAACTATCCCAAAAACTCATCCTGGACAACTGTGGGTACTCTTCAGCGTCGATACAATAAGCAGCTTGCCAGAGGTAAAAGGGGATCCGAGCTCGCTGTGGTATTCCATCGTTTAAGGGCAGTGGAACAAAGCTCTCATCCTTAGTTTGGCTCGCAGCTGAAACTTCCAACTTGGATCCTTTACACCACAGGGCCATGATCGCCTTGGCTATCTCCCAGAGAAACTTGAACTCTTCAAGCAACTAGTTACCGACACACCCCTTCAAGATCCCCTTCTACAAGTACGGGATCTCAAAAGTAAGCAGGGCTGTACAGACGCACAGCCCCTTTATCGGATGGAGCCGGAAGGAGGTGATCAGGCAGTGTACGACGGAACGCGCGGACTGTACCAAAGTCAGCAAGGCAGCCACTTTAATCAGAACTGCGGGGATTACCCCACCAACGCCTTGACCATGCCCTTGGCCAGAAGACATGAAAATGCCACGCAACCAGACAACCGAAACCAGACAACCACGGGCAACCATCCAAAGTCGCTTGCAGAGAGCTCCGATCCCTCGGCTGCCCCGCAAAACCCGCCCCTAAACCCACCAAAATTCACAGCAGAGCAGGTGCCCAGGTAGCCAGTACAAAGAGAAAGCCCCTTTGTAAAGCTAGAACCCAAACCCCCTCAACTGTGCCCTTTCAAGGTAGCCCTGTCCGATCGGCACGATACCTTCGCACACTTCGCCTTTTGCGTCTCATTCGCCTCCTGCGGGTAGCGAAATTGCAGCAGGCAGCGGCATCTCTTTTCGGTGTGGGATGAAGGGTTTGGAGTTTGATGGCGAGGGGATGAGGTTGACGGGCTGGTGTTCAGATTTGCAGAAGAAAACCGGCGCCCCACAAGTCGAACGCAATCCCAATACGGCACCACAGTCAAGGTTTTCGGAGCAACACTGAAAAAATCTTGTAAAATCCTTGACAACAAGCTCCCTGCCCAGGCCAAAGGTATGATGCGGAGAAGCTTGACCTAGACCAGACCCTAAGCCCGGACCGTGAGAAGCGTGTCTTCATGTTAGGAGCTGACGCTGCTTGCGAACAACTTCCTCTCCGCCTATGCTTTTATGGACATTCGGCGGGTGTTATGTGCAATAGGGTTTTCAACATGGCCTTTGGGTGTGAGAATGCATGGACGAGTGTACATGTTAATGCTTTCAAGTGGTGGGCCCATATGCTGTACTGCACTGATACCAGGCATAATCAGCAATGGCTGCACGCCCATTGCAGGTGGGTACTAGTAGCTTGCAGGTGTGTAGTCTGCCACAGGCGTCCCATGCGACGAATAGGAGTGTGTGTATATATATATATAATGAGGGTAGTGGGGATCTTTATGGAAGCGTTATGAAAACTACCCACCTGCAGATGTCTTCAAGTGGTAATTATCATTCTAGCGGTAGCCACCATGATGGAGCACTATTGGCCGCAAGAATGCTGCGCATGTTGGTAATGGTTGTTCATGCTGCTTGGCCGATTGGTGTCGCTCAAGATCTGGATGAGGCTTCAACTTCACAAGGTGAGGATGTCTTAACATTGGATGGATCAGAATTGGGTTCAGTTTTGGGGTTGCAGTATTGGGAGGGGTATAGTTAACATTAATTCAGGAAATGCCAGATGCCATACGAATATGGGCGTAGACATGGGACCGTCATGAATTATGACCGTCGGCTTAGGGCCCAAGGTTCAGCAAGCCTCAAAACATGAATTACGCCACACCTTGAACCTGAATCCTTTCGAAGGTCGTGAACGGAATCCTGCCCAAGGCCATGACCTAGCTAGCCGCAAGTACCCTGAGCCGATTAGCCGTCACGGAGATTCTTTCCAATGTCATGAAAGGGCTTCTTGGGTGGCGAATTTGTCGCAGATGCAGTTGGTCAGAGTGCATTTGCGCGTTCAAGGTCATGAAAGTGGTGTCGGGGCTCTTGATGATTCTGGCGGTCAACCACCTCATTGCCTGCTGCTGGTATGGCTTGGCGCGCTGGACTCTTGGAAAAACCTAAACCCCCAAAGGCTTCCCATCAAGGGGTTTAGGGCCCAGATTAGGGTCTAGAGTTGAAGGCCCTGAAGGGGGTTTACGGGCAACTAAGCCCTAATAGCCTAAGTTTGGTAGCTGCTTGGGGTCCTTTAAGTCGGTTGGGTTGGGCTCGATTAGCTCGTATACGACACGAGTTACAGAGGCAGCTGAGGAAAAAAAGGATTCAATAACCTTAAGACTGGCTGACGACTTTGACCGCGATGGGGCATCACCAAGCTAGCTCCGACGACAGGCTGCAAAGCAGGGGACCGCAGCCAGGCCTTGCATACTGGCGCTCTCCCCATGTCAGGTAGAGCTGAAGTGTCAGCAGGCATGCGGCCACTTAGAACATACCATGCCCCACACCAACTTATGGAGAACGTCGTCCAAGCTGGTGATTAAGAAGATCCTCTACATTTCAGCCAATCTTGCGGCCCGATTTGGTGTCCAAGATCATTCAGTGGCCAATGCATCCCTAGAATAAATGCAAAAAAGAAAAAACAGGGTCCAAACCCACGACACAGGATAACTTGAGGTTTTTTGTTCAATCAGAATGCAGATTTTGAGGATGAAGGTTTGCGTGCCCGGCTTTCGGCGTGGTGCGCCTCAGTATTTTGTGCACAGGAGCGTGTGACCAACTTACGGAATTTTATTTTCCTAGCATGGATGCCCCTCGGCTCATACCAAGCGTTGCCTTTTGAATACCTCGCCGACCTTGCTTTGAAAGACATGCGGATGGCCCATGTGATGCCAGCCTGCTTGGACGCAGAGCATGCTGTTCGGATGGGGCTCTGGGATGCTCTTGCATGTTGAGATTGCCAGCTCAATTGGCAAGCATTCCTGCAATTGGCGCCTTTGATAGCTGTGTTTCGTGCCCGATTGGGCATCGATGCATCAAAGCCGGATCATGGTAGTGCTTCCACCAAAAGTGACTGACAGAGTATAATGCTGCACATTCAGCGAATCTACCACTTGGGCAGGAATGCCAGCGATACTGACATCGTCGCCAGGATGCTCATCCACAAAATCTCAAACCTGCTTGACTGCATGCCACTTGTGCAGCAGCTCGCCTCCACAAAAGTCTCACACCTGCTTTGCTGCATGCCTCTTGGCAGTCCGAGAGGCTTCACTGCCACGCTTGGACATCCGCAAAGACAGTACCACACAGAGCGAGCATTGCTTCAAACTATGCTCCTCATCAGTCGCCACACAGCTTGAAAAACACACATTGCGAAAGTTGAGGAAGCCAAAACTGTGCAACAGAACAGAACACGAAGAGCGATTAGAATCTTAGCCAGTGCGAGTACTGCAAAAGGGGTCACCGACACACATGGTGGACATTCTCAGAAATCTAATTGGAGGTTCCACGCAGGTATAACCCACTTACAACCATAATTCGAGGATTTGGGCGGCGTAAAATACTTACCTTAAAAGTTGACTATACGTCGCCATCATAGGGTTACCCAGCATTTCCAGCAAACCTTGCACTTTTTCCCCTTTCTGTGAGTTCCGGATCTGTCAAAGAGCGCAGATCAAGGGATGCCTGACTTCTGCACAGCTGGTGTAGCAACAGCAGGACGCGGGGAAGCATGCCATATGGCGGGCCTTTGCCATCCTCGCGCATCGTTTGGTAGTGCCAAGCTCGTATGGACCTGAAGCAAGTTGAAAATTGGAACCACGAAAAAGGTAACAGGAGGCAAAGCAACTCCCCAAGGTGCCAAAGCACTGCCATGCGCAATGGCAAACATCTTGTAGCCCACTGTGATATATGTACAATGTGTATATATATATATATAGACCTAGCGCGTTCTGCACTACATGGTATGTAATATCCCCAAAGCAAGCTGCCACGCCACAATAGTTGCCTAATGCGGTTGTTGTGTGATAATGTGTGACTCCGCAAAAAAGACTACACACTGAATCTGCAACTTTCTGGAAGGGCTTAGGTCAAGCTGTCTAATGTTCCATATGGAAGTCACGACGAAACTGACCCATTGGCCGCTGCTGAACCCCCCGGAGCCAAACAGGGAAAGTCAAGCGGGTTTTTGTTCGAAAAAACTCGATTCAAGAGCTGCTGAAAAAATGAGACAGTACTGGTACTCACTGTAGCTTTGGCGTCAACACCCCAAAATTCCAGGGTACGGGAACGGAAACGCCTAGTTTAAGGAGCCTACCTGTCTGCTAGTAAAGTGAGAGAAAGGTGCTTCTGATTGTTTGGTTCAAGTTTGCTAAATGCGAAAATGATCAACCCCTGCTTCCTAAGCTACTTGTGTTAAATCTTGCGGATTTTTCTTCATATTCAAGAGAGCCTCAGCAGGTTAATCCGGAGGTTTCGCTATCTTGCCTTGTTCGGAAATGAGTTGCTTCTAAGTTTAATTGTGCTGATAGCTTTCCACAGGAACATTCTTTCGGTACACGAACACATGTACACCCACCCTGCCTACTTTGTTTCCGCTCCTCGGTGCCTGCTTCGTGCCGGTGAGTGAGACCGTTTGTCACAAATGACCTGCACGTTCAAGGGCAGAGTTTATACAACCTGCTTGATGAAGCTAGCACAGGGCTACTTCCGCACGAGGTCTGGGCCACAGAACGGGTTTCAGAAACACACTCTTGGGGAACCTGCGGCTGTCTGCACGGAAGACAGGAACTTGAACTCACAAGTTGAAAGCAGGTCGAATTTGAGGTTCCCTAAGTTTTGTAAGCAAAGGTCTCTATATTCCTTCTAGCAATAATGCTTCTGCACTTCCATCAACATCTTCTTTTTCTTTCTCTGATCCCCAAGACCCCTGGGATTATCCCCATGGCCATCCTGAATAGCAGCCCACTGCTAGAAACAAACAAACCCTAAACCCGTACTGCACCCGGATACCTCCCAAGCAAACGAGGACAGAGGAGTCCAGCGGCGGGAGCTGGTTGACAAATGCCGGTGTTGATACTGACTGCTGGCTTGGGTTTAGAGGTCAACGCGCTGGGTTTTCAGAGTTGGAAAAGCTTTGGCTCAGGGACCTGGTTTTGGGGGTTTAGCGTCTAGGAGGTGTATGTATGTGTAAAAATATGTGTATAACATATACATATATATATATACTGTATATGCTCGTTCCCGCCCCTCCGAGTCTACCTGCGCAGGGGTTTCGCGTGAAGAATGCTCAAATCCCAGGCCTTGATTTGATACTGGGTCCCTGAGTTTCTCTGCGTAAAGCCCTTACCATGGGGTTTCAAATTGAAAGGGTAATTCTCAGATCGTGGGTTCTTATAGAGGTTCATTCTTTCATTATCAAAGGAATTTCAGATTTGAATGGACATTCCAAAGTTGTCTGCCTTCATTATCCTTTCCTTAGCTTTGATTTCATGTATATGAATTGCACATGCGCTTCAAATTTGCAGAAGAATTTTCAGGTCCCGGGTGCCTGGTTTTCTTTACCTCAGCCCTTTCAATACATGTGCTTCAAATTTAGACGGAGGTTCCTCTTTTCTGGGCATGGATTTTCCTACATAAATCCCGTTTTGAAGCAATTCAAACGTAAAGGAGAATTGTCAGATCATGGGTTCTTGGTTTTTTGTGTAAAGATTCCTTGCGAAACGTGGCGAATTCGAATGGGAAGTTCCTCTTCCTGGGCCTGACTTTTTTTCATATAAATCCTCTACAAAGCGTATTCAGAATCTGATGAAGAATTTTTAGATCCTGGGATCCAGTTCTTTTGTTTGACTAGGAAATCTGAAGCCCAAGCTTGGCTTCTCCTTTCGAGGGCATTGGCTTTCTCCTTTCGAGGGCATGGGCTGTCTTGCTGTAAACCCTTCACTGATTGTATTTCAAAGACAACTGAGGATTTTCATGTTATGCTTTTTTCCGTGAAATGCTGCATATAATGTTGTGGTTCAAATGTAAATCACTTTCCTCCTTCTTGGCCTTCATCTTCTCCATAGAGATTTGTTCTCCAATATTTTAGCAGTTTCAAAGATAGTTCTCGGGTCACGGGTTTCTGGCTTTCAGTGTATAGATCGATTCAAACTCTAATGAAAACAATTTCTTCCTGGGATTGGCTTTCTTTATGTAAATCCCGTATGCAACACAGAAATCCGAAACCCTGTATTCCTGGTTTTGGACTTGGTTCCGGTCTACAAAACATAAAACATAAATCCGTTATTCATTTTATCTGAAATTGAGACAGAAATCCTGGAGTCTTGGATTCCTGGTTTTGCTGATTGAAGTCAATTAAGAGTAATACAGATGGAAAGCCTACAAAATTGGATTCTTGGTTTTTCATTGGATATACCGCCCAACCCTGAGGATGCTTCAAAAAGACCAAAGGTTCCAGTTCCAAAATTGCTGAACCTGAGTAACTCCTCAGGTTTTCACCTCTAAAGTTTGGTTTGTTTGAGACACCCTCAGGTTTTGGCAAGGTTTTCAAGGAAAATAAATAGCAAAAAAGATCCTGAGGCAGCCAATCCCAAGACCTCCAAACCTTTGTTTTTCTTGTTGTTCTGGGAAAATCCTACGGACCTGAGGAAGTATGTGCAAAACACATCAAAATTAGGCTTTTGAAGAGTTGAACTAAAAACTACGAAGACCATGGGAGGTGATGCGAACATCTAAAATGGTAGATATCAGTCAACTATCACATTCCGGTAGTCACTCAATGCATCTTCAGACCATGAAGCTTGTGATAAAGCAGATGTATCTATTCTACAGAAATTGCCAACATCCGTTATGTACACTGTTTTTAGCAGTTCCATATAAGGACATGATGTACTGGTAAGGAGGAGAATTTGATGCAAGACCTTTCGAGGTAGATCTTGAGGGGGTGACCTTATCTATACATATACACACAGGACTACAAGGTTAAATCTTAATAATTCCTCAGGCCTGTACATGAGTTTTGCATTTTTGGTTGAACGCTCCTGGCCTGATTGGTTCTAGTCGCTGAAAATTAGGACAGCTGCTGAAACAGTCATACCAGCAATACTCGTTGCCACTATGCCGCATGGCTACTTGCCGGTATGTGAACTGTGTGCGCGCACTTGTTGGCAGGGAAGTTTCTCCCAACATGTTCCGGGAAGCCCGAACCCCCAAACCTTGTTCAGACTTTGGATGCGATAAAATCGCAACTTTATAAGTTCTTGAGCCTTCCGCTGTGACTTGCCAATCCAAGCGAAGCGTCAACTTGTGAAATGCTGAGCCATTGGCTCTAGAACTCTGCAATCCCTGTACACACCTGCTGAACGCCGACTACCCCGTGAAATGGAATCCGAAACTCCTGCAAATCTTTACCGCCTTGGCTTGCAGCGTTCTTTGTGAGCCGCCCTGTAATCTTATCGAGATTAGCATTACGATTGCAACTCTGCAAGTATCAAGGCGGCAAGTGGTCTTCATAGTGTCTTGCTTTTCGCTGTATGTTTGTTGGCTTTCGGAGCAGTGTTGCGAAGCAGCGCGGTTCCCACATTTGGCTCTCCAATGCTACACAGACATGCATCCTGAACTCCCAGGAAGATTTTGCCAATGCCTATGCCTTCTCAATTCATTGGTCATTGACTCAATTTACGCCGGCCACGAACAACATCGCCCCTGTGAATTTTTACGAGAGGCGAGCATCCATGAGCATGGCTTGAGCCTAAGGGTTAACACATTTGGCATAGGCATGACGTAGTCCCCCTGGCAGTACCTCAAAAAATGATTGAGAATGACTTCTCAGGGAGATGCGTACAGCCGTATAGCAGCTGCACCTGCGCCCTTTCCTCAAACCTTGAAGCTGGATTTTCATGATTATGCGCTTTGAGCAGCTGCATGTGCAAAAGTAGAAGGGAGGGCTAGATTGCAAGCCGACTCACAAATGTAGCAGCGTCTTCACTTGTAGGTGGCAAAGGAGCCACCTGTGGGGGTCACGTGGGAATTGAGAATCCACATCATTGCTGCCTTCCTGCATTCCGCGGAGTGACGCGCACACCCTCAAGAGCAATACAGTGACAAAACACACTGTCTGGACCGTAGACGCACATGAAGATGGAACCAGAAGTATGCTTAAATTAATTGAAAAGGAATGCCCACGCAAAGCCTTGGAAACATGTGCATACTTATTGTCAAGCGGGCAGCACACCCGACTTCCGCTTTGCGAGGGTGGAGATCTGCAAAACGCTACTTTGTGGAAGACATAACAAAAGCGCATAAAAGCGCAAAAGCAGTCGGTGGTATCCATTATGGCTTTTCATCTGTCAAGTACAGCTACTATGGTTTTGGTTTCTGCAGCTATCGCTGGACCCCTAGACATCGCCAAAATCAAAACCAATATCCGGATGCTTTTGCAGGTTCTTCGCAGTTTGGGTGATCCTCCTGGCTATGGGAACTTTCTCGTCAGCAGCCTTACACGGTATTGCGACACCTTTGCGTTAGCAAAGAGTACGCCCCCGTTACGACTGCAGCGCATCCCTTCAGAATCACCAGATACGCAGAAACTTTGTTTTGAGAGGCTAGCTCACGAATTTAGTTTGCATGTGTTGTGCAACGAGTGGGTAAGCTCCGGTGAGTTCTGTGAGTGCCATAGGTCCTTCATCAGCTCCATCACAACCACCGTGAGCACCATGCGTGCTTCAAGGGCTGAAGAGTTCAAGAATCACTCTCTCTTGGTCAGATTTTTCACTGAACGGAATCTCTCAGTCGACCTCTTCGGGAAGGTCAGTGAGAACTTGAAGAAGCAGGGTGCTTATGGCATACGGTTGCGGGAGACTGATGTTCGACTGCTGAAAGGAGTTCCAGATCGCCTGAAAGTTGTGCTGCACGAAGAAATGTTCAAGAGTTCATTGATGAGCCTTGGCTTCTGGCGCCATTGGCGTCACCCGGATGATGAAGCTTTCTGCCGGCAGGTTTGTCACCTTGCCATGCAGGAGCCAAACCTTAGCCCTAACATCCTTAGCCCTAAACACTAACTAAGCCTCCAACCCCGACCATAGCCCTGCAGGAGCACGTGGCCACTCCAGGCGCAGATGCTTTTACGCCTGGCCAAGAATGCGAGGAGGCACTAGGGTTGCAAGTTGGCATGGCTTTTATTTTGCCTCTTTATCTTATCATCTCCTCCCCCAACATTACGCACGCACTCAGAGCATTAAGGCTTCCATGAGGAGCGCTCAGTCTTGGGGGGCGGGTGCTTAATTATAGGGGCGAAACATAAAGAATAGACAATTCAAAAGAGCAGTTAACCCAGGTATACATCATTGAGGCGGGCTCCATGAATCTTGGGCCATTACTGAATTTGGCGCTTGTCCTTTTCCAGCTACTTGAAGCCTAAGCCATAAATGGTAAAAGGCTAGCGTTTTGTCAAACACGCCTGAGAAGTCGAAAAGTCAAACGTTTCACCAGAAGTGAAATAATTTTGACTTTCGAATGAAATTTGGATATGCTCCGGCCGTGCGAAACCACGGCCGGCGGCGGGCCTAGCTCGTTCTGCCCCCATAACTTGAGACCAGGATTTGGATGTATAGAACACCCAGCAGATCCGAAGCCCTTTGGATTTTGAAACATAGCTTACATTCGACTCCGACTCATGTTTGGTTGGGTCCGAGTGGTTCTGGAACACCTAGGAATTACATTGCACGGCAAATGACATCCTTCGAGTCAGAGCTCGTCGATACTGGCGAGATTCTGTGTTTGCCTCTTAGCTGCGCTCATAGTAGTCCATATTTATGCCCAGGATATTCAAAGGCCGTTGCCGACATCCAGCAGCAAAATCACCAAGACGGGTATGGATATCTTTCGAAAGATCTGCCTCACCTCCCCCCTGCAACAAACCCTCGCAGCGCAGGGCTTGATTATTCCCGATATGATACTGTATTGCTATATATTAGGGGACTATTTACGGTGCGCGTCAGGGTTTGGTTCCTGATGGAGGTGATTATCATGGCAGTTGTTGAATGTTGTCACGTCTTCTCGGTGATGATATCCGGAGCCTGAGCGTGATGCCCGACAGACCATCATCTAGAGTCCCCACAAAGCCACAAAGCTCTCGCAGATTGATTCCCCGAGCATGGAGAGCTAGAGATAGCTAGAGACTACGGTAGACTACAGCGTGTCTGCTTTGCGTAGTGATGACAGTAATTAGAAGCATCATACCCCAGAGCCGACTCAGCAACAGATGTAGGTATACACGCACATGAGACCCAAAACAGCAAAGGCCATGCATTTGGACGGAGTGGCTCTTTAGAGGTCGCCTGGCGGCGAAGGGCAAAACCTGCTACTCACCGTACAATGGCAGAATTTCCATTTTTCCAGGCGTTGGGATGACCTAGGAGGATGGGCCTTGGAGTCGAGGATTGCGGTGTAGAATTCAAGGGTCTAGCATCTCAGACTTAGGGACTTAGGGTCTATGATTGATGCCACTTTTGCTTTTTGCTGTGTCCTTTCAAAAGCCTGAACTTTCGAGGCTACTTCAATGGAATCAATGGCGAAAAGTTTCTTGGCGCTCAAAAGCATATCTGCCGCAATACTCCTTGCGAAGCTACGCTCTTCACAGCGCCAAAAGACTACTGTTCCACGGTTTTCCATGTACTTTTGCCTCGCAGACCTAGTACTGCATCAATAAAAGGGACTATTCCCATCCGATTTCGTGTACGTCGGCTTCATTGGAGCAGAAGCCACCTCTACGTTCGAGCCCTACATTCACGACAAGGTTTCCTTGATAGCCATTTTTCCACAAACTTCGTCATCTTTTCGAGTCACAACGAACGCCGTTGGTCTGCAGCCGTGTTGTACCAATGTTTCTTGAGAGGTGTCGGAGATTGACTGTGAGGATGAGCTTGCGAGCTTGGAGAATGGTAAGGATACGTCAATTATGATTGTCTTTGCCTAAATGACGTTCTTTGCAGTAGTGCGTGAGCTTCCCCTGGGATCCCCCAATAATAGCCCCGACTATGAATAGCAGGTTGGCGTTCTGGAGGGAATGCTTGGACCTGGAAGGTCCAAGCAAGACGAAGGAGTACAGGCTGCGCTCTCTGACGGCTTTGACGGCTTTTGTAGCTGTTCTCGCAGCTGGCCGCATAAGATTGAGAGTAAACCGGCCCAAATCAAAATGTTTCAGCAACAGACCGCAACGATCCGCAACGGCCATGGACAAACGGACAGACGCATCAAAGAGCGGATGCCTGAGCAGGGGCTCAGGCTGCGCAGCGCGCCATCGGCTACATTTGTCAAAGGTTTAGGGTTAAGGTTTAGTGCCTGGAGTTTAAAATTCAGGGTGTGCAGTCGGTTTTGGGGCTACAGTGCCAAAGGTGAGGGATTTGGCTTAGCTGTGATTTTGCAACTTCTTCCGAGCTTCGGGTACAGTCAGGAGGCTGGTTTCTGAAGGGTCTCATTTCGGCACCAACTTGTCCTACCAGGAGATGCATCAAGAATCGTATGAGTCAAGGATGGTGCGATCGCTGTTTGTTATCCGTCGGTAAAGGTTCGAATACTACTCTGGAACCAAATGCAGGAGTCCAATATGTGTCAGGGATGCTGCCGTGATCGTTTGGAGAACTACCACTAGTTGTGGGCGGGTTTAGTTTTGTAATACGGCCGAGGGAAGATAAGAACTTTGAAGTGGGCGAGGCACGATGCACAAACGCCTGTCGCTTGATACGCAAGGCATACAATAGTTTCAACTGCGTCAACTACTGCCAGCACTTTTTAGAAACCATTCCAAGCCGACCGCTGCCGTCCACCAGCATACAGCGCAAAGCATTTCCCACAATTGGAGCGTATGTCTTGCCGACTAAGGGTAGAAGGCGTTAAGGTGTAGGCTTAAGGGCGAAGAAGAGGCTGGAGGTTGTCATAACAACTACGGCTTGCGTTCGCTCCTACCTGTAGTAGCAATGCCCAAAGCATATTATATGTTGTGCCACATCGCCATTTGCCCAATAATCACGATATGGAAGAAGTGTGGGGCCTGACACGCAGCCTAGTCAATTTGAATAACGTTGTTTCAGGGCACATTCTACTCTTGTTGTGTACAGAACCCACTTTGTATTTGGGGCTGTATGCATTCCGTCAAACAATATCATGGTGGACTGGTTCAAGCGCCGACATGTGCAGCGAAACATAGCGAAACCAAACCCTCCTCAACAATAGGCCTTGTTTCGAGGGGAGCCACTTTCCGCCCAGCCGCCTTTTCTTCGACTCTCCCAGAGCTGTTTCTGCGAGTGTGGCGTGGGTTCAAGACATCAGCCTCGCGACGTGACGTTTGGCGCGTTGAAGATTGTACCAGCCGGCAATTGAAAATGTAAAGTAAAGTCTCTATACAGCAACACAGCGTGCGTCTTGAGTGCTTTGCAAGACATTGCATAGCCTTCATGGCTTGGCTGCCCGGCGAGGGCGCTGCCGTTGGCTTGTCGGCGTGGCGAGGCCACGCTGCTGAGAAGAAACAAATGAGGCGGGTATGGCCACGAGGTGCATTCGTTTAAGCAAGAGCTCTTCTGTATATACAGGGCTGCCAAACATGCTATAAATGAATATGCCACCCTGCGCAAAGATATTGTGTTTGCGCCTGCGCCTGGGCAGTCCTGTGCGCATGTACATTTAGAGTCAAGATGTTTGAGATGATTTGGGCGCGTCGTGTGCAGAAAAGCATGTGCGCACGCGCACGGAAACGTGTGCATCCTCGTGCATTCAGATGTATGCACATGAACAGATGTGTGTGTGTGTGTGTGCACGCGCATGACCTGCCATCACATCTATGTCTGCGCACACTCTTTTATGTATGCGCGATTACCTACAACTATGTCCGTGCGCAGGCATTTTCGCATCCAGGGTCTCCTCCACCGAGGCTGTGTGTGCGCATGCATGTGCGTCAGCGCATTCGCCTAGGTGTGCATGCAGGTATGTGTGTGTGCGAGGACACGTTGCGCAATGTCACCCCATGCAAACATACATGTGTTCGCGATATGGGTGTGCGCGTGCATATCGACATTTGGGCATGCAGTGTGCAGAGAAGCACACTGCACGCCCAAATGAAACATGTGTGCACTTGCGTTCATACGGGTGCACGAACACATCACGCATGTGTTTGCTACGTGAGCGTCGTAGCACATGTGTTTGTGGTATTTGTGCGTCTGTATGCAGGCGTTTTCGAATTTCCATGAATTTCCCATCTTGTCCGCAGACATCGCACACATGCGCGTGCATATGAGCATATGTCTGTGTCCATGCCTGCGCACACAAGTTTGTGCGAAATCATAGCTGTCTATCCGCATGCAGCATCGTTGCATCAAAAATCTCCTCTACAGGAGCTTCAGTACTCAATGTTGCTGCGCACCCCCATAGATTTGTAACCTTGTTTGCCTTCCGGATTGCGCGCCGGAATCCGTCACGAAGCTCAAGCTTTTGCCCAAGCTGCGGGCAGCATTTCTGATTCCTGGCTTCTGCGACCGAATGATGGTGCAATTTGTATCAACTGTCCCTCACAAAAGTTGCGGACTACGCAGTGCAAAGATCACATAAGCAAACTCCACGGAATCGAGCTAACATTTCCTGACGCGGAAGTGCACAGGTGCTAACATCAAAGCAGAATAGTCAAACCATCCTCTATGGATCCCAGACCAGTGTGAAGAAATGAGGCCTGTAAAGGGGCCGTTTAAAGTCATCAATTTGAGTCAAGGTCTTTGGAGATGTTAAAGGCCAACACATCGGAAATTCCGGAAGCCAACGATTTCCGATTCGGCAATGGATATGAAAACACAGTCTTTGAAGGGTAGGTCAGGTTCTACAGCAAGAGCCCAGTAACGGAATAATTTCTACCGGTATCAAACATGTCGCGACTGTCTCACGTGCGGGCCGACTTTCCGCTTCAGCCGCTACCGGAGGTTGCTTGGGAACCGCGCACCGTCCTGCAGTGCTATAGCAGGACCCCATGGAAGGAATGATGGGCATAGATTAGAACATGCCATGGAATCACTTTCAGGCTTGAGTGCGGCTACATTGGTCAAAGTTAGAGCATTTCAATCACAGACTTCTTGAACTCAGCCTCCCCTCCTTGATTCGCCATGTCCATGCCTCTGCTAACCAGCGTGGAATACCTAGCGCCCCTGGCGGATGGGAATTAGTTTTGGGTTAAGAGCCACTTGGGTGAAGTTCTAGTGCATGCAAACCTGAATTGCCTTAACCATTCTGAGCCTTCATCACATAGCCTTTTTGGGCGCAGTCCAAAGCAGGTTTGCCGCGCTTGCGAAGCAACATGGGCCCCCGCTGTGGCAGTGCCTCTTCTGAAGGTTTTAGGGTTTACGATTCGGGATACGGACTCAAAAAGGGTTTGGGGATTCC